GATGTATGGCCATACTGTGCGTCGCTAGCGCCTCCTGTGGCTGCTATTCACCTTGACCCACCTGATAGCTTACAATTTAATGTAATAATCAGTACAAGGTGGCAAGCCCAATTTTTGTCTTTCACAGATTCAAAAATCTTCTCAATCGCGTTTCGCGTACAGGAACAGTGTGAGATTTTATGAAATTTGCCAGCTTTCCGCCGGAATTTCACCTCTTTTAAAACAATGGGATCTTAAACAGCCCAAACTTCTTAAGCGCGGTTAAAGATAGATAAGGCAGAAGACAAAGTCCACGAAAGACGGCTACTACAAAAAATATGAGTGATCGCAACTGCAGCGCAGAGGGAGACAAACAATGCTATCTTCATTCCAAGTTTCACTGTCCCTCAATTCGCTGGTTTCGAAAAGTGCACCGTGATGTAAGACTTACTTTCAGCATGTCGTCGATCATGATAAGGACACATCGAACCGTCTGGTCTTTTGATATGTTAGACATCAAGCTGATGAATGTTTTAGCGCACTAAAAAAACATCTACTGATCAGCATTAAACGACCGGGCGAATGATATGCACCCACTCAGTCGAACGGCAGCAAAACGCTAACCTGAATTTTGTTATTGTCGATCAGGCTTTTGTGCTCGTCGCCTTTTGTTATTTCATAAGCGGTTATGAAATTATAGTCGTCCTGCGATATCATGTTGCTTCTACAAACGAAACGTACGTTCAAGTGACAAAACAGACGCCAAAATGAGCAAAAGTGTAAAAATCTCACTGAAGATAACTTTTCCAGTTCGGCCTGTTCGCGCGTACCTGCATCGACTCCATATGCAACTTGCTGGTCGCCATAATCGTATCTTAAAATGTGCAAAAAACATTGTAAAAGGCAACTGGTTCGTCGCGTACCTTTCGAATGGCGTTCCAGTTCGTCTTGGATCGCCTGCATTCTCTCCGGTGACACCGTGTCAGCGACGGTCAGGGACTTGCCCTTCGGATCAGCGTTCATCTTGCACCGACGATATTCTCTACAAAAAATCATAACGCAAAGAGGAAGCGGCAACACCGTTTTTAATACAATTCTTCTAGCGTAATCAGACTCGGCGTTAGAGTAAAAGGATTTAACGACTTAAAAAAAGGTAACGGCAGATGGACCTCTGAAAGAGGCGTAGCAAGATGTGCGTACTCAAAACAAAACTTTATCTTCACATAGTCGTGCAACGTCACACTTTCAACTCAGAGAAAAACACTGATCCACAATATACAAAAAAATGACAACGCCTTTTCGCACATCTTACGATGTCATGATTTTCACACACTTAATATCGGTATGTTGGATAAGAACTTGTATGAATATGGCTGAGTAAAACTCAATATGCAAAAGGAGCGACTGAAGATTAACAAAAATGTCAAACGTTACAAATCAGAACATCTGCAGCAAACGGTCGACGACAGAAAAAGTGCAACAAAGAGCATAAGAGATACCCGTCTTTACATCCGTGTATTACCCGCGTCATACACGACGCTGGACGTTCTCCAAATGAAGTCAGAGAAAGTAATGGACCACACGGCGATGGAAGGTGTGCGCAAATTGCGCAAACGTTTTAACAATCACTTTTTCAAGTCAAGTGTTGACGTTGTTGTTGATCATACGACAAAAATGACGCGTGACTAGCTTGAATATTTACGAAGTGAGGTTCGTGCGGATTTGTCTCATAGAAACGGCGAAAAATCTATGAATTCAGATCAGATTTCAGCCAATGCTTTAATACCCGGAGGGCACAAGCCCAACGGTACCACGGCAAAACCGTCTACCAGGTATCAGTCGAGATGTCGTTTGTACAATGATGAGCACGAAGTGATTCTAGCGGACAGAATGATGAGAGATGCATCTGGTACTGCAAATACCATGAAACCGTGGACTAATTAATCGTCCCCTATGCAACTAGGAGCAGGCAGACGGTGCTCCACACCATGAGAAGTGGTCTAGAAGGAATCATTTGCTATCTGTACAGCCAATCATTAAAACGCGTGGGAACTATCACGATCGTGATCCTTATCTTGGTGACCTCGAAGACAAATTGCTTCGACATGTGGTTAACTTTCATTCACACAAACTTCATAATAAGGTGCTGATAAAAAATAGTAAGAAAACAACGGTAATAACTATGATGCTGAATAAATTTTTTGCAGACTATCAGGGTATTGAGGCAGACTACAAAAATTCGTCGATAAGAATCTGTTCATCGCCCTCTGCCAGCCAGGGGCGTAGCAGCACAACAACGGTTTAAAAAGACAGACGGAACGACGACGATGCTATTCAACCTGAATCATTACATGTTCTAAACGGAGGAGGCAGACAGCGCGATGCCATTATAGTACGTCAAAAAGGCTCCACCACAACGACACGGTCAGTGGGAGCTTACAGTTGGAAATTGGAATATATCCTCACTCAGAGAGAAAGAGCAAGAGTTAGTTGATGACGCCACAAAGTACCAACCCGATATGGTTGGACACTCGTCAACGAGATGACAGGGCTCTGGAATCCTCAACCTCTCTGGATGAAAGCTACTGTACTTAGGCATTGATTCCATTACGCGTGCTAAGGCCAGTGATGATGTTCTGGTAGAATCCAGCGTGGCTGAGAGAATTACTGAATGGAAGCCTATCAGCGCCAGGGTGGCAATCGTCCAACTGAAGCTACAAGAGGCTAAAACGCTGATTTTGGTGCAGGTGTTATGAGTCCAATTCAGAGGAAGAATATTACACCTTTCTTAAGGAAGTGCAGTGCCGAAAACTCTGCCTCTGCCCGCAGTGCCGAAAACAGGGTCCCTCATACCGATGGGCGACTTTAATGCGCACGTCGGAGTAGACGCTGAAAGTGGAACGGCGTGACTGAAAAAAAGCGGCCCTAGAGACTTCAAAAATTACTGCATCAAGTTGTTGCGGTTTCGTGCAAACAACGGACTGTCCATTATGAACACCTTCTTGAGCATCGAAGAGTGCATCAGTACACCTGGAACCGGGAAGCTTGTGCACAGAAGTCGATGATCGATTTGATAATCG